GTAGCTTAGTTGAAGCCGTGTCCCTCAGGCACAGCAGGGAAGCATGGAGGAAGCACTGGGTAGGGACAGTGCTGGAGACAAGCTTTGCCATCTCCGGGAAGTACCCAGCAGGGGCTCCTCGGATGGTCAGTCCACTGGGCCTGTAGTCGGATGGTGCTCTGTACTCTACAGACAGAGAACTGAGGCTCAGAGCAGAACCAAGGACCCGGGACTCCATCCAGCTGTTGCCTCAGCACAACCTTCTGGGGCTTCTCCTGTTTGCCCACCACCATCATTTGCATTGCAAATTCAGCCCATGCGCGACATTGCTGGGGCCCAGGCACTGTGAGCACGATGAGATGGGGTGGTGTGGGGTGGCGGTGATCGGCTCGGGGCTGCTCCCGGGCCAGCAGCCACCCTTGCCCCTACAGCCCTGGGATGCGGCATGATGGGGGTCTGCACACACACCCACGAGGGAAAATCTACCCGGGACAGCTTTTGATCTCTCCAACATTGTCGGTAATCTGCACCCCGAAGACCCTTGAAAGACGGAAAGATGTAATTTCTGGCCATATATGCCTTCTTCCCTGCTCTCCCCACCTCAAAAAAAGAAAGGGGGCCAAGTGGCAAGACAAGAAGTAACGTCTAAGTCTAATGTGTAACACATTCCCATCATCTGATTTCTCTGCCCTCGTTGCTCCCCCACCTATGTAAACTACATTCCTTTACACGGTCATGGCAAAGGAACATTAACTTTTTATTTGAGTTGTGATTAAAGGCAACACAATCAGAAGAGTGAAATAGTTTCCACTGAGGCAACATCATTTCTAACGGAGTCGTGGTATGTATGTCAGGAGAGAGTGTGGTTTTGGGGTTAGGTGTGGGTTCTGATCCTGATTCTGTCTCTTACAAACGGTGGCCTCATGCTGTTGTTAGTTAACCTGAGTCCTTCTCCTTGATTGTAATAAAGTACTATTGATGTCTTTTTTTTTTTTTTAAGAGACAGAGTTTCCTGTTGCCCAGGCTGGAGTGCAATGGTGCGATCACGGCTCACTGCTACCTCTGCCTCCTGGGTTCAAGCGATTCTCTTGCCTCAGCCTTCTGAGTAGCTGGGATTGTGGGATTGCAGGGATGCACCATCATGCCCGGCTAATTTTGTATTTTTAGTAGAGATGGGGTTTCTCCAGGCTGGTCTCGAACTCGTGATCTCAGGTGATCCACATGCCTCGGCCTCCCAAAGTGCTGGGATTACAGGCATGAGCCACTGCGCCTGTCCTATTGATGGCTTCCAAAGATGGTTGTGGGGAGTATTCAATAAGGAGAATGAGTCATTCTCATCTGCAGAGCCCAGCACGTGGCGGGTACTGTATTACGATGGCTCACTTCTCTGCAGAAAAGAGGGCTTCCACCTTGTCACCTGGAGCATGCATTAATTTCTCCTGGTGATGTCCTTGTACTCTCTTACAGCAATTCTAGCCTTAGACTTTGGGAAGGAGGTTGGTGCTTTTCTGAAGACCTGAGGCCACATCTTGGAGAGTCTTGTGAAAGGAGCAGAATTGTTCTTACTCTTTTGAAACTGTGCAGCGCTCTTTACAGCCTTTCTTTGAGATGTGGTTTCTACCATTCCCACTGGCTCTGTTTTGCAGAGGATGGCAGAGAGGGAGCCAGCCTGCCTCTCCCTAGACCTGGGCAGTGAGAGTCTCCTTACTGGTCTCTCACTCCAACCCGCTGAAAACCTTTCTCATTCAGTGAGCCACAGACTAGAGCAGGGGCAGTCTTTTCCCATGTGAAGCCGCAGGCACAAGATTTGTGAGCCAGCCATGGAAGCTGAACCAGGAGTGGGCCTGCGTGGGTGTATCGGTGCCAGGCTGTGGGGGGATCTCGGCTGCTTTCCATGATGGCACTCCCACTTGCCAGTCCCCACTGTGCTCTGTCCTCAGTAGGGGTGGGGTCCAGCCTAATTGGGAGACTGGGATGCGGCTGGTCCTGGCCGGGGGAGGGGTGTGAATAAGGCCCTCGTTCGGGAGAGCGCTCCCATGTGTGCTAGGAAGCACGGAGTAGCCTGGGAGGGCAGTGCTCATTTTCAACTGAAGAATTCTGCTCACTGGGGCCTCATTCCCATCCCCTCTGCCACCCTTGGGGTGAGACTTCGTAGGCCTGGGGTCATAGTGGGCCTCAGCATGAGGAACTCTTACAGTAAGAAAGCAGAGGGAGATGGTCTGATTTACTGACTTTGACACATTCATGAAAGATTTCTTCCTAGCACTCTTTTCTCCTCTTTCATATTCTTGGGTTAGCCAAAGGAATGCCTTTCTAGTTAACTCAGTATTAAGTAATAGGCCAGTCATGGCTCACACCTGTAATCCCAGCACTTTGGGAGGCTAAGGCAGGAGGATTGCTAGAGGCCAGAAGTTTGAGACCAGCCTGGGCAACATAGCAAGACCCTGTCTCTACAAAAAATGAAAGTGAAAAAATTAGCAGGGCATGATGTCATGCGCCTGTAGTCCTGGCTGAGCCAGGAGGATCTCTTGAACCTGGGAATTCAAGACTGCACCACTACCCTCTAGCTTGGGCAACAGAGTGGGACCCTGCCTCTAATAAATAAAATACTACATAATAACACTTTCACAAATGCAATTTCTCCTTTGCCAGAGAAGTCTCTCTCAACCAGGAGGTACTCTTCTGCCCTTTTGTAAGTGAAGTCATTTTGAAACGTAGGTGAAACTGGGAGAAGGGTCTGAGCTCCTCCCCCTGATTTTCTTGGTCCATTCAATCAGTACTTCAAGTTTGGGGTTCAGTCTAAAGAATTTTGGAAGCATAGAGTCAGCATGCATAACATGCAGATTAAAAGTGCCCATTTAGACATAGGTTTCAACTTATGATTAGTGACTTTAGGCAAGTCAACTTAATCCCCTACACCTCAGTTTTCTCATCAATTAGACGGGAAAATAATTATACCTTCCTTCTGGAGTTGTTAGATGAGGAAAGACAGTTGTTAGCTACTGAGTTCAGGTTCAAGACTTGCCCCAGCGTGTGTGGGAGGAAGCCTTGCGTTATTAAAAAGAGGGGGCTTAGTAATTTCATATTAAAAAGAATTCAGAGGATAGACAAATTGTGGTGACTGGCACCTAGAAAGTGATTTCCAGCTCCTTTGGGAATATCTGGGGCTGGCCAGTGTTATCGGGGAATTGACTGTCCCAGCGACGCCATGTGCTCGGTGTGCTTCGTTCATTTATCTTCATCAGTAGCCCCTGTGGAGTCATCACTACAGGATGTGACTCATGGGTTAAAACTGTTCATTCAGCATCCATTGGGACGCAGGAAAGAGAAAGCAGAGTTGGTGGTTGGGCTGGTTTTCCCTTTCTGCTGGGGGTTGAGAGGAGAAGCAGCCCGGGTACCATATTGGATTTGAAGAGAGCTCATCACCTGGATTTTTTTAATTAGGGCTTCATCAGGACTCGCTGTAATCTGCCAGGACGTCAAAATAGATTTGGATTTTGTGTGGGTCTCCTCAGTTGGTAGAACAGTGGGGATTAGTGGTTGACTAGCAATTGACCGATATTAGCAGTACCCGCTATCTTACTGCCATGGAGACACGGTAGTGGAAACTGATTTTTCCCATGCTGTGGTTGGACGTTGATGTTTAATGCAGCGAGCATGACAACTTGAAAAAATCTTGAACTTTCCTTTGCTGAGGGCACAGACATATTTCTGCCTGTCATTTTATAGGACCCAACTTTCAAGGAATTGTAGGTCTTTCAATGTTAAAATACTAAACTAATAACTTGCTCTTAAAACAAAACCAAACAAAAAGAAACCCTCATGGCTCTGCATGGTGGTTCTTGCCTGTAATCCCAACACTTTAGGAGGCTGAGGAGGGACGATTTATTGAGTCCAGGAGTTCTGGGCAACATAGTGAGACCCATTTCTTAAAAAAAAGATTAGGCAGGTGTGATGATGTGTGCCTGTTGTCCCTGCGACTTGTGAGGCTGAAGTGGGAGAATTGCTTGAGCCTGGGAGTTTGAGGCTGCAGTGAGCCGAGATTGAGACACTGCACTCAAGCCTGGGTAATAGAGTGAGACCTGCCTCCACAACGACATCAACAAAAAACAAAAACACTCAGAATGTTTTTTTCTCTGAATGCTGAGATCAATAGCATCAGATCATGTGGATTAAATTAGGTTATAGGACACTTTCTTCTTTTAAAGCAGTGCATGATATTCTGAGTCACTGGGTTTTTAAAAAGAGCAATGTGATTTAGTTTTGAAATTTATTTGAGGATCTTCTGGCACTGGTGGCCATTACAGAGATATCACTGGACACCACTGAAGTGGTAGATTGAGTAACTGAGACCTTTTTTTTTTTTTTTGCGATGGAGTCTTGCTCAGGCTGGAGTACAGTGGTGGTCTCGGCTCACTGCAACATCCACACCCCGGGTTCAAGTGATTCTCCTGCCTCAGCCTCCTGAGTAGCTAGGATTATGAGTGCCCACCACCACATCTGGCTAATTTTTGTATTTTTAGTAGAGATGGGGTTTCACCATGTAGGCCAGGCTGGTCTCGAACTCATGACCTCAGATGATCTACCCCTCTTGGCCTCCCAAAGTGCTGGGATTACAGACCTTGGATTTTATGGATCAAACTGCCTTTTCTTGACTTGTTACTTGCCTTTCATTTTCTTCTCCACTTCAGCAGTATGCTTGGGTCATGGTTTTAGATGAAAAACTGTGTTCTACAGTAAACACTGGAGATTCCAAAAGACATGTGGGAGGGTGGCGGACACTGGGTTTGCTACTTGGGCGACGGGATTATTAGAAGCTCAAACCTCAGCATCCTGCAGTATACCCATGAAACCAACTCTGCATGTGTGTCCCTGAATCTAAAATTTAAAAAATATTTAAAAGAAGAAAGTGTAAACAAAACAATAAAATAATAAAATACAATCACTCGGAGGATCAAAAAAACAGCTGCATTCTAAATGCTTTCTCTTCCCCCCTTTTATTCTGTCCTCTCCATCTCTAGCACTGAGGATGAAAATAAAAGAAGTGAAAAAAGAAAACGGCGACAAAAAGATTGTCCCCAAGAAGAAGAAGCCCCTGAAGTTGGGACCCATCAAGAAGAAGGACCTGAAGAAGCTCGTGCTGTACCTGAAGAACGGGGCCGACTGTCCCTGCCACCAGCTGGATAACCTCAGCCACCACTTCCTCATCATGGGCCGCAAGGTGAAGAGCCAGTACTTGCTGACGGCCATCCACAAGTGGGACAAGAAAAACAAGGAGTTCAAAAACTTCATGAAGAAAATGAAAAACCACGAGTGCCCCACTTTTCAGTCTGTGTTTAAGTGATTCTCACGGGGGCGGGTTGGGGAGGGAGCCTCAGGTGGGGGGGGGCAGGGGGACAGCGCCCCAGGAACCCGGTGGGTCACACACACGCACTGCGCCTGTCAGTAGTGGACATTGTAATCCAGTCAGCTTGTTCTTGCAGCATCCTGCTCCCTTCCCTCCATAGCCACGCTCCAGACCCCAGGGTAGCCACGGCCAGGTAAGGCAAGGGCCATTTAGATTAGGAAGGCTTTTAGGATCCACAAGGCAGAGCAGCAGCCACTGCACAGGAGGTGGTGACAAACTATTTTCCCCAGTGACGCAGCCACTAAAGTACAAAAAGGGGGATTGGGCCGAAAGTGAAAGCCAGCAGAACAAACTCTGTTTTGCAACTTGCTGGTATTGATCTACTGGCTGATCTATGCCTTTCAGCTAGAACATTCCAATAATTGGTAAGTCGCGTTAATTTCAGGTCGAGTAGTTTCTTTCTGTCTGCTTTAGATGGAAACAGACCCATACCACACTGACAATTAAGGTCAAGCCCAGAAAGTGATAAGCGCAGGGAGGAAAAGTGCAAATCCATCGCGTAATAATGACAGCAAAGGGACCGGGAAGAGGAATCGCTGGCTCTGCCCACCGTCTTTCCTTGTGATTGTCTTTGGATCCGAATCAGCCAGTCTCAGATGCTTTGAAAGTTTAGTTTCTATGAGCGCAGGGCACAGTCTTATTCCCCAGACATGTGGAGGGGTAGCCTGTGCCTGCCTTTGTGTCAGAAAAAGGAAACCACAGTGAACCTGAGAGAGACAGCAATTTTTGGGCTGAGAAGGCAATGTCTGGTAGTTTTCAAAACACGTAGTTAAAAAAGAAACAAATGAAAAAACTTTTTAGAACAGTCCAGCAAATTGCTAGTCAGGGCGAATTGTGAAATCGGGTGAAAAGCTTAGTATTCTAATCTCATGTGTGTTCCTTTTTACATTCTTAAAAGAACAACGAAAAACACCCACTGATTTTTCAAGGTTTTAAAAAAGTCTACATTGAGCCTTTGAACATTGTGCTAGAACAAGCTCTCCTGATCCGTCCCAGGCTGCTTTCCCGAAGAGCAGCTATCCCTAGGCATTTGCTAAGGGAGGCGGATTTCCCTGGTGGCGCAGCCGGAGCCATGTGGCTCTCCTTCCTAAAGAGTCCGTGGTTGCCCTAGAACCTAACGCTCCCAGGCAAAACTCGCAGTGCTTTCCGTTCTTCCAGTAAAGAAACAATCCTTTGAACTTGATTGCCTATAGATCAAAGAAATTTGGAATAGCCTGCCTGTCTGTCCCCCTACACTTTTTACATATGTTTTTTTCACGTCTGCAGATGGAAAGTTGACAAGGGTAGGGTGTCTCCAACTAGGGAGAGAGTTTTAGAGACAAAACATCTCTGCAGCTTTTCCCAAGTGCCCTGAGATATTTCTCAAAGCCCTTATGTTTTATCAGCGATGTACATAAGCCAGTTCACTTCGACAAATTTGCCAGTCTTGTCCAGTGTACAGGAGATAGTTCTAAAAAAATTCATATTAATTTTTTCCCCCAAAGCCGGATTCTTAATTCTCTGCAACTCTTTGAGGACCTTTGTGACTGTCCGTCTGGGCCAATGCTTATACCCAGTAAGGATGCTGCAGTGAGGCTGTGAAGTGGCCCCCTGTGGCCCTGGACTGACCTGGAGGAAGGGATAGTAGATTCTGTTAACTCTTGAAGATTCCAGTATGAAATCAGCATGCTCACCTAGTTACCTACCTGAGAGTTATCCTGATATAATTAACCTCTCACAATTAGTGATCCTATCCTTTTAATGCTTTTTTTTGTGGGGTTCTCTCTGACCTTTCATTGTAAAGTGCTGGGGACCTTAAGTGATTTGCCTCTACTTTTGGATGATTAAAAAATGTGTATATATATTAGCTAATTAGAAATATTCTACTTTTCTGTTGTCAAACAAATTCAGAGCAAGTTCCTGAGTGCATGGATCTGGGTCTTAGTTCTGGTTGATTTCACTCAAATGTTTAGTGCTCCTATGTATCTGGTTGATTTCACTCAAGTGTTTAGTGCTCATTTTGACAAAGTGCCTCATGCAGCCAGGCCCTCTTTCTGTGGCAGAGTTCTTAGTGGAGGGGTTTATCTGGGACGTTAGCAATTACCACGGAGTGTGGAAGGGCAGGTGACTGTGCTGTGTAGCTCTCTAAATGGGAATTCTCAGGTAGGAAGTGACAGCTTCAGATAGAGCTCAAAATGAATTGGAAATGTGAATCACAGCTGTGGATTTTATCACCGCCTCAGAGACCTAGGACTTTGAGTTTCATTAGTTCCTTTAATGAAGATTTTAGACCCTGAAATTGCTGCTTTGTCTCTTATCACATCAGCAATTTCAGAACCAAAAGGGAGGCTCTCTGTAGGCCCAGAGCTACACTATCACCAACCTTTGTTTTTCTCCATAAAGTATCTAACAAAACCAATGTGCAGACTCATCAGCCTGGTCATTGGTTTCCGAGGAGGTCTGCATATGATTTGCTAATTATCACTAGGGCCAAGGTGGAATTTGTAAAGCTTTACAATAATCATTCTGGATAGAGTCCTTGGCAGAACTCAGTTAAATCTTAGAAGAGGATTTGTAGTTATCTTAGAAGATAGCATGGGAGGCGAGGATTCCAAGAACATTTTATTTTTAAAGTATCCTGTGTAACACTTGGCTCTTGGTGCCTGTGGGTTAGCAGCAAGTTCTCCCCAGGGCAGAATTCAATCAGAGCTCCAGTTTGCATTTGGATGTATAAATTACAGCAATCCCATTTCCCAAACCTAAAATCTGTTTTTCTCATCAGACTCAGAGTTACCAGTTGCTGTGTCGTAACTTCATAGATGCAGGAGGCTCAGGCATCTGTTTCAGGAGAGCACCCTAGGCAGCCTGCAGGGAATAACGTACTGACCATTCTGACCTGTCACCAGCAGATACACAGGACATGGATGAAATTCCTGTTTCCTCTAGTTTCTTTCTGTAGTACTCCTCTTTTAGAGCCTAAGTCTCTTATGAAAGCTTTGAATACTGTGAAAATGTTTTACATTCCATTTCACTTGTGTTGTTTTTTTAACTGCATTTTATCAGATATTTTGATGTTTTCACTTATGTTAGTAGTAATTCCCGTATGTGTTCATTTTCATGCTTTTTCAGCCATGTATCAATATTCACTTGACTAAAATCACTCAATTAATCAACGATACTGTGAGCCGTGACTTCTTTTCCCCAGCCAGTCATACACTCCTCACCCTCTCCAGGGAAGCACATGGTATCTTCTTCCTCTTCAGTTTCTTCAATGATGCTTTCTGGTCCCAGTTCAACAGCTTGCAAATGGTAACTGGGTGTGGGTGGGCTGAAGGAGAACTTGGGAGGCACCGCAGGCTACCGGTGGCCCCCACACTCCCATTTACCATCTGCTCCTAGAAATAACTTCCAGAAGTGTTTCTCCTGGCTGTGTGTGTTTCAGATCAGAAAGAAGGTTAAATGCTTGCTCTACAAGAATGTAGCTTTCAGCCCTGCCTGAATTTCTTTTCCATGTTTCTTGTGAAAACATGCTCTTTCTCCTCCGGCTCAACTCAATGTTAGAATTACCAACTAGAATTGGAAAACTTGTTTGTATCTGGAGTCTTAGACCCACAGGAGGCCTTGGAGAAGAACACATCCATCCACCCTGTTAGCATAAGATGGGGATATGGCTGGGATTTCCCAACTAATGTGGAACTCCCAGGTCACTCGCCTGGTTGGAATGAGAAACGGGGGCTCCTGCATCCCAGTTGCGTAGGTATGACGTCTGCGTTCCCCACCAAGCTTCCCCTTGAACTCAGAGTGCTGCTCTGCCCAGCCCAAGCTGTTTCATATTAGGTTCTGTGCCTCTTGCTTAAGGAATTCTTCCATGTGACTTCTAATTCTGCAAACAATTACAGTGATGACTTCAGTGAACGTAGGACCCAGATCAATAAGTCACCTCCAAACCACAGACAACTGACAGTTTTACCCAGAAGTGATAAAATATTCCCAAGTTACCCAAATCCACATTCAAGCACAGGGATACAACTTTTTTTTTAAGGCGTGTTATGAAAACTTGTAAACATTATATCAAAGGCATGCTCTAGTCCGGAGAGATTCTCACGTACTAAATGGACCTGACTGGTGAAATGGTGAGATGCTAGCCCAGCCAAGGAAAACATCCGTATTTTTCCTTTTAGTTCCCCTGTGGTTAAGAAGCAAGGACATTTAGTTAGGCTGGATGGAGATGTCATTGTCACCACCCACTGAAGCCCACCACCATGATCACCATTTCCCTTTTTTTTTAAGTCTGCAAAAGGAAGATGAAGTGTGTGCAAAGGTATCTCAGCTCCAGCTGCTGGAGTCACCATGGAGTTTGGGGTACCCAGGGCTCAGGCCTGCTTGAGGCTTGTACTGCAGAGATGCTGGCAGCACTTGGAACCACAGGCTTGTTCTCAAGCTGCATGGGACCTACACCTCTTTAATGAGCAATTTTGGTGCTCCCTTAGGCAGAAGGTATAAAAGACGAAGGATTACAGACTTAGGTTGGTCTTAACTTCAAAGGTTATCTCTCCACCTTGGGTCCAAAAGTCTAGCAATTCGCCTTTGCTCCTGAGGGAGGGACACTGCACTAATCATTCAACAGGAATTGAAGGGCAGAGGGAGAATCATTCTTAAATTTCAGCCTATGTGAGTATCACCAAGGGGAGCTTGCTGACATGCAGGTCTGGGCTCCCACCCCCAGACATCCGGACTGGGAAAGTTTGGGACGGTTGGTAAAGGGGCTCTAGAACCAAGGCGCTAGGTTTCTCTGATGCCAGCAGTCCACAGGCGCTTACTTTGCAGAACATTCTCACAGGACCTGTGTGGCTTGGGGATGAAAGGCAGGAGGTCATTTTATTGTCTCCCTCTCCCCACACCCACTCTTCATATTGCCGCAGTCCTTTCTGAAGCTCCGTGAGTTCGTCTTACCTGGCATCAGTCAATAGAGGCAAGTTAAATGCAGAGGGAATGAGCCCTCTTTCCTGATAGCTGGGTACATTTGGCTATCCAGGGAGTGTTTCTCATATTTTAATATGTATGTGAGTCATTAGAGGACCAGCATTAAAATGCTGATTCTCTTGGGTAGGTCTGAGGTGGGCTTGAATTCTGCATTTCTTTTCTTTTTTTTTCTGGTTTTATTTGTATAAAGACAAACATGGCCTATCCAATGGAGCTTTGTCAAATAATCCTTAAGTACCTAAAGTACACATGACTCAACAATGCTTTTAATACCAAAAAAGCTTATTTTTCTGAATCCAAAGATCACTTTATATAATTATTCTTTTTGCAAACTACTAGTTGGCCATATTAACACTTGAATAATCTTTAAAAAGTTTTAAATATGAATTTTGGATTTAGGGGCACATGTGCAGCCTTGTTGCAGGGTGTAGTGCATGATACCGAGATCTGGGCTTCTATCACTCAGGTAACGAACATAGTACCTAATAGGACCAGTTCTTGCCCTCTTCTCCCTTCCCTTTTTTGGAGTCCCCAGAGTCTGTTCTATCTTTATGTCCGTGTGGACCCATTATTTAGCTCCCACTTATAAGTAAGAACGTGGCATTTGGATGTGACTGCAAAGAACATGATTTTGTTCCTTTTTATGGCTGTGTAGTATTCCGTAGCATATATGTACCAGGGTTCCTTGGGTATCCAGGTGAGGCTGAAGCTGTGAAACTGTCAGTGTGCAGAGTGTACTTTGGGTAGGGAAGCTCTAACAGTAAAGAGAATGGCCGATGGTTTCAGGCACATCCTCACCCATGTTACAGTGTCACCATCTCTAAGGTCAGCACAGCCCATCTCCTAGGGACTCTAAATATTGATATGCTTTGGAATGGGAAGAAAATCGAACCAGAGTCACGCTTATAAACCCAAAGTTGGGTCTGATCTTCTCAACCCACCCATTAGATTTCATTCTTGTCCCAGACTCAAGGGTTGATTCTTTTCCCTTAGACTGTGCTCATTATGGGAACTCACAGGTTCCTTCCTCCCCCTGCACATCCCCCCCGCACCTACTAGCATTCTGGACTGTGCCCTTTACCAAACTTTCCAGTGTCCAGCTGGCATCCCCAGACCCACCAAGGGTTGGTGGAGTTAACCAACTGGTGGTATTTACCTGGACAGCTGAAGTTATATAGGAATTTGCCAACATAATTGGGACTTTTCCTGTTCCATTTGCTCATGTCTGGCCAGTTTCAAACTCAGGTTATGGGAGGAGCCATGAAAGGGGAAATTGACGTCTTTGGAGGGAAAATCCCACTCCAGATGCATTGAGGACAGCCTGTCGCCTTGGCTGATTTACTATGGGAGCAGAAGGTAGGAATTGCTGTCAGCAAGGTCTAAGGGAGGTCACTTGTTGCAGGTTTGGAGAAGATGAGCACCAGAACAAGCTCTGAATAGGAGCCGAAAACTCCTGTGTCTTCATCCATTTGTGGACTATTCAGATACAAAGGGGTTTGTACCTAATCATGGAGAGAGTTGTTTGCTTAAATAAAGGAAGGGAAAGCTGCACGTGTGTGTGTTTAAGGGGAGAAGGAGGAGGTGGGAAGAAGGAGAAAGGGGCCAGGAATTTTTTCATAGCTCAACCCCACCATGCGGTTATTAGGATGACCTTCCCATCACCGGAGCAACATGACTGGCGGATGGGGGCTGGTGAGGAAGGAGTCAGGATCCAATTCCCAGGATTTCAGCTAAATTTTGATGTGGCAGTTGCAAGCCCTAAGGAGTTCTTACCTCCTCCTTCCCTGGAGTGCCTGAGTCCACAGTCTTAGAGCTGTGTACCCTCAGGAAGCCTGCCTGTTGGCTGGCAGGGTGGGATCCAGGGCTCCAGGTTCTCTGAGATCCCTGGGTGTCAGGGCTTACATGTAAATAATGCAATCAGAAGCCAGAACTTGTCGGCATGGATGCAGTGAAAAGGGAATGCTTTTTCAATGTACCATTGAAGGGAATGTAAATTAGTATAACCTCTATGGAAAACAGTATGGAGATTTCTCAATGAACTAAAAATAGAACTACCATCCAATCTAGCAATCCTACTGCTGGGCATCTACCTAAAGGAAAAGAAGGCATTATATCAAAAAACACCTGCACCTGTATGTTCATTACAGTACAATTCACAACCTAAGTGCCCGTCAACCAATGAGTGAATATAGAAAATGTGGAATATATATACCATGGAATACTACTCAGCCAAAAACAATGAAATCATGTCTTTTGCAGCAACTTGCATGGAGCTGGAGGCCACTATGCTAAGTAACTCAGGAACAGAAAAGCAAATACTAGCATATTCTCACTTATAAGTGGAAGGTATGCTGCGGGCACACGGGGGCACCAGAGTGGTATGCTGGTCTCGAACTCCTGAGCTCAAGCAATTTGCCTGCCTCAGCCTCCCAAAGTGCTGGGATTATAGGTGTGAGCCACCGTGGCCGGCCCAGAGTGGTATAATGGACATTGGAGACTCACAAGAGCAGAGGGTGGGAGTAGGATGAGGAATGAGAAATGACCTACTGGGTACAGTGTGCACTGTGTGGGTGACAGTTACACTAAACGACCAGACTTCACTATACAATCTTCCGTGTAACCAAAAACTATCTGTACCCCTGCATCTATTGGAATAAAAAAAAACCCAAACTGCACATTAAATTTCCTTCTAAGGAAGAGAATTAGAAAGAAAACAGGAGGTTCTGCTAAAATGCTTTGCATAATAGAGATGATCCCATCTCTATTACACTTTTTATTTTAGTTTTATTTATTTTGAGTCAGGGTTTTGATCTGTCACCTGGGCTAGAGTGCAGGGGTGTGGTCTTGTCTCACTGCAGCCTTAACCTTCCAGGCTCAGGAAATCCTTCCACCTCAGCCTTCTGATTAACTGGTACTACAGGCATGAACCACTGTATCTGGCTAATTTTTAAATTTTTTTGTAAAGACAAGTCTCACTATGTTGTTCAGGCTAGTCTCGAACTCCTGGGCTCAAGCAATCCTCCCGCCTCCACCTCCCAAAGTGTTGGGATTACAGGCATGAGCCACCCTCCTTGGCCAACTATTGCACTTTTTAATGATTTGCACTCACATCTGCTGTCATTGTTTGTACCTGGGAATGGATTGAGGGTGGAAGGGTGGTTTGGGGGCCTCAATTTCCATTTTTGCCGCC